TTAGTGTTTTGCATAATTCATTGATTTAATGTAGGTATTTACGAATATTATGGTTTTTTGATAATGCGCATAAACGCATACGACGATGAACACAACTAACTTCGTTAGTTACATTACATAAATAAGTTTTGATCTGGTATAATGTATAAATTATTTGTATAAATTATTTCACAAAATCACTCAGATGTTTACAATAATATTTCTCGCTTAGGAATCGTTTGTGAGTCAATTTAATTGAGAATTAAGTCTTACATGGAGGTGCTGTATTTTGAAAGTATGTATCTAAACTTATTTATTTAATTGAATTCGAATGAGGGTGCGGATTTACTGATAAAAAAAAAAAAAAACATTAGGTTCTTAATATACCATAAAATATTAATAAAAAGTATAAATAAAATGGTAAATGACGGATTGATTTTTTTTTATATATAAAATTTTTATAGATGCATTACATTTAAAAGCAATAATAAATCATTATAATCGAAAAATGATATTTATTGGAAAGAATTTTTAAGAGAGTACTAAAAATGTAATAATAATGATATGTGATAAAATATTTCGTATAAATTTAAAGTGCTCTTAAAAAAATAAAAAATTATGATTAACATTTTAAATATAGATGATTGAGTACTAAACCCGAAACCAACCAAGTGCAATCGTTCTATGAAAAAATCATTTTAGGCGCAATTGGTAAACTCCCATTTAATGTCCCTGTTTATGCAACGAAAATTTCCTCATCCAGTATACTGTCAGTTGTTTATATACTCATACATTTTCCGTTCCAATATTTGTTGAGCCATTTAGCCGTCAAATGATATTTTCAACGAATAACATAAAGGCTCAATATCCATATTTTTATGTTAAAATTGTGTTTATACTCGTATATTTGTATTGACAAATACAAATATAATTATACATTTTTATTACAAGTGTAAACAAAAACCATGAAATATATTTTTAATATTTTTATCTTCCGAATACTTCTCCATAAGACATTTCTCCATATAAATTAATATAGATCCGGTTACGATATAGTATTGTTTATTTATATTATATTGTTTTGGATGTACACATTGATATTGCCTTTGATCAGAAAATACTTTCTTAGAATTTTTTGGGTTTATTGATATTGTTAAAAAAAATAGAGCTGTGGCATTATGAATTTCTGTTTCCATTAACTAGATACTTTGAAGAAATCGAATGATTATCTATAAGAATTTTGTCACTCGCATATTTTAAATTTTTAATCAGCTGCACAATACACAACTCTAATGCACTTGCATATTCCCCCTAAAACCAATAATAATATAGTTGGTTTTTATGGATAATTTTTTAATATTTATTAACTATGTACATCATTCAATCACAGCGGTTAACTAAAATTCTAAAAACAGAGAAACATTTAACTAACATACAAATAAATGATTTAATTGATGATTGATGGATAAGAACCGTGGGCAAAGAAAAAAATAGTATCTACATTATACGAATAATGTTACCTTGAAAACTATACAAGTATACACGAAATCACTCATAATTTAATGCTAAAAAATATTTAATAAATTATTTACTATTTCTGATTATACTCATGTACATTATACAAATATAATTAGTATTTTTCAATAAAAACGCAAACCGAATGCAACCCGCTTCTGTTTCGCGGTGTTCGGTGGAAATGTCATTATATTTGCGACAATAAAAACAATACATAGAGACAATTTTCTAAGGAAATAGGCAAATAGCTGTGTATATGAATGTATGTACATAATAAATGTATTTTATACGTAGGTAATATATGTATGTGTATACATTGTAATATTATAAAGATATTGTTATTTGGGAACTTAAAATATAATTATAATTGTACTGGAATTAGTGAAGAATTCAAATGAATTACTAAGTATTGTTATTGATGCATATTTATTTTATGATACTATATTTTAACAATTTACTGGTTTGCTTATAAAATTCTCTAATTAACCTCATATTCATTACTAAAATAAAACGTATTGATTTCCGGTTTCAATAGACGCAACTACGCAAGACGTAAAGTTGGTTGTTGTAACGTTATTGTACACCGACTTGGATATCTCGTTAATAATAGGTACATAGAATTTTGTTTACCGGTAGTGCGTACATTTAAGAAAACGGGTACTCTATTTTTGTATAGGTAATATAAACAAAAACTAAAAATCATGCAATACATCAATCACTTGATCGAAACGCGCTCGTTCAATCTCGTACAATGATGAATTGCAAGTTGTACTTTGTACAAATAACATATAAGTCTATAGATACTACCTTTACGTGTCACATATATTATAGCACTATATTTAATGTATCTGTCTTGCTCGCGTATACGCCGCAGGACAGTAAAATAACATAATCCAAGTAAATATATTTTGTTTGTTTTATTCTGCATGACGTGAAATAGTATACCTAAATAGAATGCGATACACTAGGAAATATTACTATCGCGTGAGCATCACAGAGAGAAAAAATACAGAATTTATCGCAGTAATGATTTGCAATAGTTGTAATGTAAGTTTGTTTGGTACTAATATTCTATTAGGCGGTCCACTATTTGTGATGGGTAATAATTAATTGAAAAATTTCAGTAAATATTTTAATATGTTTTGAGAAAGATATTATAATTATTGTTCGGCTGTAATAAATAGTACCCGTTGAACAGATGTTTCGTCCTACAGGAAATAAAATATTTGTAATCCAAATAGTTGTCTGCAATGTAAATAGTTATGATATTTTTCTAGACGCATGACTTGTTATGCAGGACCAGTGGCTTACAATTATTTGTGTATACAAACGTAATATTTTGGTCACGCGTGTGCAATGGATATAATTGCAAAAATAAAAAATTGCTTGCAAAATAATTACAACAATTAAATCGAGAAGACAATAATACCGTAGCGACTTATTTAGACATAATGTGTGCCGCCTGCGATCATCTTCTTTATTACACAATACATTTGTAATTATAAATATAATTTCACAATAAAATAGACAATAGTGCCACATACATTTTGTACGTAGATTTAACATAGTTTAATCTTTGGTACAGTTACGCTCATATTGTAAGCGAATCATCGTTTTTCGTAACCACTCCATAAAAGTGTGATTTTCCAAGTGATTTTGACATATTTTTTGAAATATCTAACATTCTCTTTACTTTGTACAAACT